GATGCTGGGTAAACTGCTTATACAACATTCAATCTGAGAGAATTCTCGGGAGAACAGACATTTGAAAATATTCATGACGTGTGACTGACTTCCCAGGGAGTGACATCATCAAAGGAAATCATCTCCCTGTCTCCCAGAAGCTATCGAATGCCCATCGCTGCTCGGCTAGGGCTTGGGGTTTGTGCCAGCCCTTCCTTTCTGTGCTGAGATTCTTGTTGTCTAGCTTGAGCTTGTCGTACCACTGTGAGTTTGCATGTACCCTGCTGGGAAACACGGCTTCCTTGGCCTCGTCTGCTATCTCTGGCTTCCTCTCCTGCTCATTCCTCAGTCTTTGGGGGAAGAGATGTGACACACATTCCTACTTACGGCTGAGCATCCTAGGGCCTCATTCTGAGTACACTGGCCCGTTGTGGGTGCATATTGGGGTCAGAGTCAACCCTGCCGCCTTCCTCAAGTTGATCTCCATCACTTTAATACTTTCCTTTTTAAAAGTTGTTTTTTTTTATTTATTATGTATACAGTGTTCTACATGCATGCCTACATGCCAGAGAGGGCACCAGCTCTCATTACAGTTGGTTGTGAAGCCACCATGTGGTTACTGGGAATTGAACCCATGTCTTCTGGAAGAGCAGCCAGGGCTCTTAACGGCTGAGCCATCTCTCCAGTCCCACTTTAACACTTCTTACATCTATTCATTCAATTGTTTATGTGGTCTGGTGTGCATGCCACACTGTTGGGATCAGAAGGTCAGAGGCTACTTACAGGGGTTGGTTTTATCCTTCTACCACGTGGACTCCAGGGATCACGATCAACTGAATTTGTCGTACTTTTTGTCTTGTGACATGAACCCCGGTCATTAGGTTTATTTTGGTTTGACTGACAGCTTCCTAAGATTTCATTTGATGCTAGGGATGTGGGTGGGGCTCCCACATCATCAGAGGGCTACAGGGAGGATGGGGAACTCCTTCAGGAACCCCAAGAGGATACTTTGAAATCTTTGCCTTCTGTAACCATTGCCTCTCATAATGGGGAACTCCCCGTGTGACACCTTAACTTCTCCGCAAGTACTTGGAGGTTATCAGCCAAGATCTCTCTCTCTCTCTCTCTCTCTCTCTCTCTCTTTCTCTCTCTCTCTCTCTCTCTCTTTCTCTCTCTCTCTCTCTCTCTCTCTCACACACACACACACCAGTCATCTGCTTACCCTTTAGACCTTCATCCTTCAATTCTGTCACCTTCCACATTAGTTGCAAAAACCTTCCCAGCTAGTCTCCTCTTCTCAGAGGGCCCAAGCTCCACCCTTCCCAATAGGGAGCTCCCCCAGCAGAGAGCCGATGCTCTGGGAACCAGAGAAGCAGGATGAACAACATGGATGCCAAACAGGTTCTGGGAAGTGAGGCCTGGTGGGAGGGGCAGAGGCCAGGCAAGAGGAGAGCAGGAGAGCCCAAGTCTTTGATTGCCCACAAGAGCTCTGTGTCTCCATTTAAAAAAAAAAATGCACTCGTTTTAGGTCTGCTGGGCACAGACCTGTAATCCCAGCACTTGGGGAGGAGGAGGCAGAAGTTCAAAGTCCTTGGCTCCAGTGGGAGTTTGAGGCCAATTTGGACTACACGAGGTCAGCCTAACACAGGGCTAGGGAGATGGCACATAGGTAAGGTGCCTGCCACACAAGCACCAGCACCAGAGTTCAATCTTCAGAACCCATTGTGAAAAGGGGACTGGGTGTGGTGTGTGCTGGCTCATGACCCCAGCACTGGGAAGGCGGAGACAGGCAGGTGTCTGAGGCTCCATGGTGAATTCTAGAAGAAATAAGGGGACAACACCCTGGTCTCCACATCGGTCAGCATATGTGTGTGTGTGTGTGTGTGTGTGTGTGTGTGTGTGTGTGTGTGTGAACACTTCCTCTGAGCTCATGTGCACAAATGCATGCACGCGCACACACACGAACACACAGAAAGTAAATAGATGTAAAAAAAAATGCCTAGCCAGTATGATGTGCACACCTTTAATCCCAGCAATCTGGAAGCAGAAGCAGGTGGATCTCTAAAGTCTGAGGCCAGCCTAATCTACACATCGAGTTTCCTGTTCACCCTAAACTTGGACTACACAGTAAGCCCCCATTTCAAAAAAAAAAAAAAAAGAAAAGGAAAATCTTTTTCAATATCATTGCCATAAATTGGGGTTAAACTCGACTCCCTCGAAACGAAAGGTGGGAGGTTTCCAGCACTGGACGTGGTTGGAGGATGTCAGCGGAAGTCTGCTCCAGGAGATCTGCTGAGCATGCGCAGCTTTCCGATTAGGGCGGCTGTGTCTGCTCGCGTGGCTTATCAACGTCAGGATCCCGCCCTGTGGCAGAGACTGGCAGATAAGGGCACTGTCTCCCCTGACGACTGTCTTTCAAAGAGGAGGCTCCGAGGTCCCTGGAAATAAAATTCTTAGTCAGAGGCCAGAGGAAAACTCACCTTCCCCTCAAAGGGGTTGGGACAGAAATTGAAATTACAAGGCTTTTGTGGGTCTGAAGAGGTGACTCAGGGGTTAAGAGCTTGTACTGTGGTTGGGTGTGGTGGCACACGTCTTTAATCCCAGCACTTGGGAGGCCGGGCCAGGTGAATCTGAGTTCAAGGTCAGCTTGGTCTACTGAATGAGTTCCAGGATGATCAGGGCTACACAGAGAAACCCTGTGTCAAAAAAAAAAAAAAAAATGCTCATAACTGTTCTTTCAGAGGACCCAAGTTCTGTTTCCAACTCCCACAGCTGCCTGTAACTCAAGCTCCAGGGTATTTAGCACCCATCTTTTGACCTTCTTCAGTATCTACACACATGTGGCTTATTAAAAAATATAAGGTCTGGCCTGGGGAGATGGCTTAGTGGTTAAGAACACTGTCGCTCTTCCAGAGGACCGAGGTTCGATTCTCAGCATCCACATAGTGGCTCACAAACCATCTCTAACTCCAGTTCCAGGGTATTTGATGCTTTTTCTGGTTAATGCTCTTTTCTGGCTGTGTGTACAAAGTGCAAGCCAACACCCATCCAGATTGAATGAATGAATGAATGAATGAACAAAAAAACCTCATATGTATATGTGTGTGGAACAAAGTCTCATATGTATATGTGTGTGGAAGGAGTGAAGGATAGAGATATGGTATGTGTGATATATGTAGTATGTGTAGATGTGAGTGTGTGTGTGTGTGTGTGTGTGCACCTGTGGAAGAAAGCGTCTGGGGAAGGTAGGGCACCCCTCTTCATCTTGTGTCTTATGTTCAGGTCTCCCACTGAACCTGGAGCACACTCAATCAGCTAGGTCAGTTGCTCTGTGAGTGTCTGGCACTGAGTCATAGACACATGCTGCTGTGTCTTGCAAGGATGCTAGAGTTGGTACAACCATAGTGGACACTTCATAGACTGGCCCATCTCCCCAGCCCCGTGCTTTTTGTTTTTGTTCTGAGACAGAGTCCCCTGGAGCACAGGCTGGCTTTGAACTCCTTATGTAGCCAGCATGACCTTACATTCTGATTCTCCTGTCTCCACCTGAGGACTGAAGAATGAGCTGTGACTCTCTGCCCACCCTCACCATCTGTCTGCTCTGTCAATCCCATCCTCCCCCCACCCCCAGCCTGCCCCAGTCACTAACTCAGGAACTTTCTCAAGCAGCCCTTGCACTATCAAATCCCCATCAGTTTTAAGTATAGGTATTGTGGAAGCAGGCGGTCCTCCATTTACTTAATTAGCATTTGCCAACGCCTCCTGGGGCACAGCCTGTCTGTGCCACCTCTCCTCACCTCTGAGCTTGTCTGTGTGTCGGCATTGACGTCTGTCCACACTGAATTGTGTCTTCTTATAGTTCTCTTTAACTTAAAAATACTTATTTATATTCTGTGTGTATGTGGGGGAAGGGTGTGGGCCCTGGGGTGTGCTTGGAACTCAGAGCACAACCTGCGGGCATTCTCTCCTCCCACCACGTGGGTCATCCGTCTTGGGGCCAGCGCCTTTACCCTCTGAGCCATCTTACAAGCCTTCTGTAGCCATGTATTATTTATTTATTTATTTTGATTTTTTTTTTTTCGAGACAGGGCTTCTCTGTGTAACCTGTCCTAGAACTCAATTTGTAGACCAGGCTGGTCTCAAGCTCACAGAGATCCGTCTGCCTCTGCCTCCCAAGTGCTGGGATAAAGGCATGTCCTGCCACTGCCTAGCTTCTCTATTATTTCTTTAAGACAAGGCCTCACATATCCCAGACTGACCTTGGGGCCATCATGTCCAGTTTTAGGTGGTGCTGGGGCTTGAACCTGGGACTTCCTGGATGCTAAGCAAATGCTCTACCAACTGAGCCACAGCCCTAACCTGTCATTCTGCATCTTGTGTGTGGTCGTTTTTATTTCTCTCCCTCTCTTAATGATCATTCATTCATTCATTCATCCACTCCTTCCTTTCTTTCTTCCTTCCTTCCTTCCTTCCTTCCTTCCTTCATTGTCCCGAACATCCCTAGAGACTGCAGAGGCATCTCCAGTCCTGTCCTGTGTAATCAGAACTGGCAGCGGGAGGGTAGCAGGGAGATGCTGTCAGGAGTTGGGGTCAGAGAAGCCTCGGGGGAGAGAGGATGGCTGGGTGTCTCGCCTGGAGATTCGATCCTGGCGCTCCAAGCCTGTGTCTGTGTGGGTGTTGACAGGTAGAGTGGAGGAGCGGGGAAAGAGCAGGAATCCAGGGACCAACTGTGGACCAGCACAGAATGTAGAGAGGAGGATACAAACAGACTGGCAAAATACACATCACCCCCAAAATCAAGGTTCCAGTCCTCTAAAGTCTTCCTCGGCACCCAGGAGCCGAGCAGCCCCACCATGATTACCACGTGAAGGAGGCAGCCCACGTGAAGGAGGGCGGAAGGGCGGGGTGGAGGAATCTGGAATCCTGGCCAGGCTGGTACCCGGGATGCCTGGGGATCAGCAGGGAAAACCAGCCCGACAGCAAGTCAGAGTGGCAGGAGCTGTCCTCGGTGTCGCATCTCAGTTCCGCAGGCTGCCATGGAGATCCCCAGGACCTTCCTGCTCGGCCTCCTCGGAATCGGGCTCTACCTGACAGGTACCCACCTGTGCTGAGTCCAGTGGGAAGAAGGGTCTGAGCCAGGACTCCTGAGTCTGGGAGAGGAGAGGCCTGAACTTCTGGGTCTGAGGGAGGAAGGCTGACCCAGGAGCCCTGGGTCTGAGGGAGGAGGCTGGGCCTGGGACCCTGGATCTGAGGAAGGAGGCTGGGACCTGGACCCCTGGATCTGAAGGAGGAGGCTGGGACCTGAACCCCTGGGTCTGAGGGAGGAGGCTGGGCCTGGGACCCTGGGTCTGAGGAAGGAGGCTGGGACCTGGACCCCTGGGTCTGAGGGAGGAGGCTGGGACCTGGACCCCTGGGTCTGAGGAAGGAGGCTGGGACCTGGACCCCTGGGTCTGAAGGAGGTGGCTGGGCCTGGAGCCCTGGGACTGAGGGAGGAGGGCTGGGTCTGGATCCCTGCATCTGAGGGAGGAGGACTGAGTCTGGACCCCTGGGTCTCAGGGAGGAGGCTGAGACCTGAAGCCCTGGGACTGAGGAGAGAGGCTGAGCCTGGAGCCCTGGGACAGAGAGAGAAGGGCTAGAGGCTTGTTCTCTCGAATCTCAGAATGATGAGATCATGTGTGCACCCCTTCCCATCCCTCTGCACCCCCACAGTGTCATCTCCTCTGACATGGGTCTTCCTTCTTCTCCCTCCCACCCTCCCATTGAGGGAATTTCTGGGGAGTAATCAGGGCTCTCCCTGAAGCTGGCAAGGACCTTAGCTCTTTTTTGGACCCTCTTCTCATATAGGGATGTACTCACTTGAGCATGGATGGGTCATGAGGGAAGATCTAGATATTGAGCAAACCTCACGCGAGTCTTAATTTGTATGCATTTGCTCACCGTGGGACACAGTTTGGTGTCTGGATGTGTCCCTGTGTTAGCACCCACTTGTGCTTCTCTGTCCCAGATTTCAACATCTGAGTAGTGGAGTGCATGCGTGTGTGTGCATGCATGTGTGTGTGCATGTGTGTGTGTATGTGTGTGTGTGTGTGCAGGTGATTGCACTTTGTGACTGGCAAAATGGCTCAGAAGGAAAAAGGTGCTTTCCACCAAGTCTGACAATTGAGTTTGGTCCCTCGAACCTATGGTGTAAAAAGAGAACTGACTTAAAACTTGTCCTCTGACCTCCACACATGCACAGGGTGGGGTAACTCATGCTCCCCTCCACAACACTATAGAAAAAAATTTTGAGACAGAGTCTCACTGTGTAGCCCTGGCTAGCCTGAAACTTTCAATGTAGACCAGGCTGACCTCAAACTCATAGAAATCCACCTGTCTCTGCCTCCTGAGTGCTAGGACTAAAGGCATGTGCCACCATGCTCAGTAACAATTTTAAAATTTCAAATGTTTTCGCATGGTGGCGCAGGGCTGTAATCCTAGCATTTAGCCAGCCTCAACTGAATTGTGAGTTCTGGGCTAGGCTAAGTTACATGAGATTGTCTCAAAAAAAAAATAAACAAACAAACAACAACACCAAAAAAGACAAAAAATTTCTTTGAGGGCCAGTTCCTCTCCTTCACTTTCTTTGAAAAAAAAAGGAAAAAGATGGGTATGTAATTTTGCACACACATGTCCACTGTCCCTATGCTATCTCTGTGGTTTACATATCCATATCTGTGTGTATTTGGATATTAGGATGTGTTACTCTCTGCGTATTTGTTTGCGTGTTTCTAAATATTCTGTGTCTATATATGATTTTAAACCACTTTGGTTTTTTGTTGTTTTTTTTTAAGGATGCATAGTTGCCCTTTATTACAAGTACACTGATACATTCAATCTTGGCCAAACTCTGGACTTAAGTTTCCTTCGGAGTTTTACTATGATGATAATACTGTAAAAATAATGCCCACTCATCAATTTCTCTCCCAACTGGGAAAAGAAACTAATTATATATGAGATGACTGAGAAAACTTTTATTTCCAGCTATTTCTTTTAATCTGAGGCTGGTAATTTGAAGTCTTCATGTGGTTGGTGTATCTGAGAGTCCAAATATTTGGACTCAAGAATTTTAAATCACTTTGATAGGTCATTTCTTTTCCTTACTCTTTTTGTCGTGTGTATGTGTATAGTATGTGTGCGCATGTGTGTGGAGGTCTGAGGTTGGCACCCGGCATCTTCCTCCATCGCTCTCTGCCAAGTCATGAGCCCAGACCCCCTACTGATCGAGTCCAGCTGGCTGGCTCGTTCTGGGGATCAGAACCCCCTGATGATCCAGTCCAGCTGGCTGGCTCGTTCTGGGGTCCACCTCTCTGCCTCCCTCACACCAGAGTGATGGGTGGGCTGCCACACCTGGGGTCTAACCCTGATGCTCACACTTGAGGACAAGCTTTACACCCCCACCCGACACAAGCCAGATTCCCGGTCAATGATGTCCTTCCTTCCTTCCTTCCTTCCTTCCTCCCTCCCTCCCTCCCTCCCTCCCTTCCCTTCTTTCTGTTTGTTTCTCTGTGTAGCCCTGAATGTCCTGGAACTCACTCTATAGACCAGGCTGGTCTCAGACTCAGAGATCCGCCTGTTTCTGCCTCCCGAGTGCTGGGATTAAAGGCCTGGGCCTCCACCGCCTGGCGGATGGTGTCATTTCTAACTACATAATTGTGCTCCTTTTTTGTGCATGTGATTCTCTCTCCCACAGTTTTCAGCTTATTTTTTTTTAAATTCTGCCCTATGGGAAGGGGGCAGAAGACAACTTGCAGGAGCTGCACTGGATGCTCTCCTTCCATCACGTGGGTCCTGGGGATTGAACTCAGACGGTCAGGTTCGGTGGCAAGCGCTTTCACCCGCCCAGCCTTCTTGACGGCCCTCTCTCGGCTTCTGGGTCCCTTAGTCCTCTATCGTTATGACACACACACAAAATATGCAGACATCAAAACTTGTGAGTGAGATGGTTCCCCCTCTAAGTGGCTTTGTTGGGTCTAAGTGTGTCGTATCTATCCTTGTGGGATCGTGGGGAACATGGGCTGCAACCAGGCTGTTCTGCATGCATTACTAAATTGGAGGCTTGCACAGACCTGTGTCAGCGCTTAGGCCAGAGTTCACTTGTGTTGCTGAGCTGACTGTGTCTATGTGAGACTGCACTCTTCCTACCCACACGATTTGGGGGTGTCTGTTGGGAGATGGGCAGAACAGGAGGAAATCGCTTCAGCCCCTTATGCAAATGACTGAGGTCTTTGAGGACCATGGTGGCACTTGGTGATGACACTACTTTCTCATGGTGACATGACACAGCAGCTGGTGCGTATCTGGAGCCCTCGGTCCTGTGACAGGTTCCCCCCAAATCTGTTAACACACCCCATCCCTCTCCTAGGCTCCCAAGCCCTGCAGTGCTACAGCTTCGAGCACACCTACTTCGGACCCTTCGACCTCAGTGCCATGACATTCCCCAGTGTCTCCTGTCCTCAGGGGTGCTCTGAGGCGATGGTGTTGCTGGATACTGGTGAGGACCTGAGGGCAGCATAAGAGAGGCCAGAGAAGGGAGGGAGAAGAGAGAGGAAGAAGAAAAAGCGGAGAAGGGATGGAGGGCGAGAAAGTGATGGCTGGGCATGGTGCTCCAAGCCTGAGATCATGGCACTCAGGAGGTAGATTCAGGAGCACTGTGTTTTTGTGGCCAGCCTGGGCTACATGGCAAGACCTGGACAGAGGGGAAGAGAGAAACAGGCATGGTGGCTCAAATCCAAGCACTTGCAATCCTTGGAAGGCATAGGCAGGAGGATCACAAGTTCAAGGTCATTCTTAGCTACTTAACAAACCTTAGGCCAGCCTGGGGCTATCTGAAACCCTGTCTCAGAAAAACAAAGAAACCAAACAGGGCTGGTAAGACAACTCAGTGGCTAAAAGCACTAGCTGCTCCTCTAGGTGGCCCGGGTTTGGTTCCTAGCGCTTAAATGTGGCTCATACCCACTGTAACTCTAGTTTCAGGTGATCTACCGCCCTCTTCTGGCCTCTATGAGCACTGCAATGTGCTACATATAAACTAAAATTAATAAAAATCTTTAAAAACACAGAGAGACTGAGAGAGCTGAGGGAAGAGAAGGGAAGAAGAAGGGGAGGAGGAACAGAGAGAGGGAAGAAAGGGACAGGGTAAATGAGGAACATGAAATGAAGAAGGAGGATAAGAGGTGAGGGAAGGACAGAGATGATGGAAACATGAAATGGACACTGGGCAGAAAGAAAAGGAAAAGAAAAGCAAAACAAGATAGCAGAAGGCAGAATGGAAGGAGGGAGGATGCAGAACTGAGAGAAGGAGACAAGCAGGAGGGAGAATTCACTCCAGGCCTGATGCTCGCCCCAGGGTACCGCTCCCTGGTGACAATCGTCCGGAAGGGATGCTGGACCGGCCCCACCACTGGCCCGATGCAGTCCAACCAGGATGCGCTGCCGCCCGACTACGCGGTGGTCCGTGGCTGTGCAACGGACTTCTGCAACACCCAACTTAAAAACCACGATACCCTCCCCAACCTGAGTCAAGGTGTGCCGGGGGGCGGGGTTGATGGGGCGGAGGCGAGTCTAGGGAGACAGGGCGGGGCTGGATGGACGGGGCGGGACTGGAGAGGTGCGGGTTGGGTGGGAGAGATGGGGATGGGACTGGAGAGGTCGGGGGTGGGGCTGGAGAGGTCGGGGCGGGGTTAGGGAGGTGGGGCCCGGGCTGAAGAGGTGGGGGCGGGCTGGAGTGGCGGGAGGCCTCCGTTGAGTGCTGCTAAGGTTATGGAATGCCGGGTTCCTCTTTGACGTGAGCAGACGCCGTGAGCAGCCAACACTGCAACCCAGAGCGAGCTATCTAACTACAGGTCTAACGTATCTACTGTTTTCTACAAGCACCTGACCCACCGACGCTCAGTGGCACCGAGTGCTATGCCTGTTTGGGGACCCGCCCCGAAGACTGTTCCCCTGAGAGGTCCCGACGGGTCCAGTGCCACCAGGACCAGAGCGTCTGTTTCCAGGGCAATGGCCGGATGAACATTGGTGAGGGGCTGGAACGGTGGGATGGCCTAGGATAGAGATGTGGGGGCGCTGAAGGCCTGAAGGCAGAGACGTAGCTCTCTGTGGTCTCTGTGAGGGAGGAGGTATGGCTCTTGTCTGAAGGAGGCCTGGCTCTGATCTAAGGGAAAAGGTCTACAGACTTTTTTTAGGGAGGAGGTCTATTGTGCTGTGAAGGAGACAGGGCTCTGGTCTGAGGGAGGAGGAGGCTTGTCTGCACTCTAAGAGATGTGGCTCTGGTCTACAGAAAGACCTGAGATGTGTCAGAGGCCGCAGGCCTGCCCCTGCCTGCTAAGGCAAAGCTCACGGGAGGCCCTCCCTTGGCCTGACCCCTCCTCCCTGTCCATCCAGGCAACTTCTCGGTGCCCGTGTACATCCGAACCTGCCACCGGCCCTCCTGCACCACCATGGGCACCACCAGCCCCTGGACATCCATCGATCTGCAGGGCTACTGCTGCGAGGGCCACCTCTGCAACAGGGACTCGGTGACACAGGCCATCCCTGGCGTCGCGTCCCCAGCCCCTCCCCGGGCTCCCAGAATCCTGATCTTGCTGTTTGTTGCTCCACTACTGGCCATTGCCCTGGGGGGTCCCTTGGAGTCCCCGCATAGAAAGCGCCTCCAGAATCGCTTTACTTCTCACCACTCCAGCCCCTAGTGTGGGTTCCCTTAAAAATGACATCAAAAAAAGAACCTCACTCCTCCTCCTCTCCAGTCACAGCCTTCCAACCCTCTATCCATCCTTCCTTACTGCCACTGCCCCCACCTCCTGAAGTCCCATTTATCTGGGCGCTAATCAAAGCATTGAGTGAGGCCCCTCAAAATCCAACCTGGCTTCAACACGTGGTTCTTTTGTGACACCTCACAGCCAAACCATGCCACTCACCTTAAAAACACGTTTCTCACAAGGGTGGTGGTAATCCCAGCACCCAAGAGACTGAGGCAGGATGATCACTACTTTAAGGTCAAGCTGGTCTACACTAAAAGTTTAGGTCCAGCCTTGATCTACACTGTGAGACCCTAGCAGGCAGTGGTGGGCACACATCTTTAATCCCAGCACTCAAAGGCAAATGCAGGTGGATCTTTGAGTTTGAGGTCAACCTTGTCTACATAGTGAGTTCCAGGACAGCCAAAACTACATAGTGAGACCCTGTTTAAAAGAAAGAAAGAGGAAAGGAGGGAGGGAGAGAGGTAGAGAGACACAAACCCTGCTTTTCAGTATCTCTGAAACAGGGCTGACACCCTTCCTACAACCCAGCAGTCCCACTCTCGGGGCCACCACCCCAACAGAAACTGGTCCACATGGCCACAAACTTAAAACAACACAAACAAATACCAACAGGCAAATGAGGAATGAGGAGACCATGACCTCCCACTGAAATGACAGCTGCCCAGCAATGAAAATGGCGGTGGACTGTTACCTGCAGTGGCCTTGAAAGAATCTCGCAAAAATCGTGTTGAGCAAAACAGGAAAGACACACAATAGAACAGGTCATGTGACTCCCTTCAAAACAAGGTTAACTCCCTTAACCAAACGAATGTTGGTTAAGAAAATAACAGTGTGTACAATCAGAAGTCAGAAGAGTGGTTATCTTTGGAGACAAGGGAGCAGAAGAGAGAACATGAGGTGCCTGGAGGTCTAGACACTGAGGTATGGGGTCTGAGAACTCACTGGTCCAGCTTTGCTCTTTTCACTGAAGTTTCTGCTGTTGTTTTGGGGAAAGGGCTTGTGTAGCCTAGGCTGGTCTCAAGCTCATTGTGTAGCCTAGGATGACCCTGAACTCCTGATCCTCCCACCTGGACCTGCCAGATGCTAGGATGACAGAGTCAAGCCGTCACACCTGTCTTTTCTCATCTTCCCACACGTGTATTATTTGCAATAAAAGATTTTTAAAAATGTATAAATTTTCTTCATGGGAAAGGGCCAGAAGGGGATGCAGAGGGAACAACCAAGCCCACCCCTTTCTTAAAATTGTCTATTTAGGGCCAAGTAACTGAGCAGAGGGGAGAGTTCAAGTCCTGTCTTCTCACGTCAACTGTTGCATTTTAAGTGAAGCATTAAATGGCAGGGTTGAGTCAGATGAGGTGCCAAGAACCCATAGCCCCGTCGCTGGGAAGTTGATATAAAGGGATTTTGAATTCAAGGCCAGCATGAGTAATTTAGTTGGGTCTGTCTCAAATTTTAAAGATAAATTGGGCAGTGGTGGCACACGCCTTTAATCCCAGCACTTGGGAAGCAGAGGCAGGCGGATCTCTGTGGGTTCCAGGACAGCCTGGTCGACAGAGTGAGTTTCAGGCCATCCAGGGCAATACAGAGAAGAGTGACTTCATCTTGCAGCCATCTCATCAGCCAGGGAACCGTCCATCATAGTGGAAAAGGCTCAGTGACAGGATCGGGAGGTGGCCGGTCACTTAGTGTCCAGTCAGGGAGCAGTGGATTCTGGTGCTCGGCTCACTTCCTCCCTTCTCTGTGTGGACTGTGTCACCTACAGTTAGAGTAGGCCTTCTCAGCTGGGTGATGGTGCACACCTTTAATTCCAGCACTTGGGAGGCAAGGGCAGATGGCTGTCAGTGAGTTTGAGGGCAGTCTGTTCTACAAAGCAAGTTCCAGAACAGCCAGGACCCTCCCATAGAGAAACTCTGTCTTGAAAAACAACAGCAACATAATAGTAGGCCTTCTCATCTCAATTAACTCAACATGGAACCTCCCTCATAGATGTGCCCGGAAGTTTGTCTCCTAGGTGACACTAGTTCCTGTCAGGTTGACAGCCACGGCATCGGAAATGACTGAGGTGAGGAAGCAGCCACAGCCAGGTCCTGAGGGATGAATGGAAGTTTGCCAGGAGGGTAAGTGGAAGAAGCATTCCAAGCAAAGGAATCGGTCTATGCTGAGGACTCATGTAGCATTCACTGGGTGGCAACAACACAGGGCAGAGACAGGAATAAGAAACTGAGGGGCAGGAAGAGGCATCTGGCAATCATTTGGAACCTGTTCTTCCGGGGTGTTGCATCCCAGGCCCCAGCAATTAGTCAGAGTCAACCTGCCCTCCTGATCTGGAAAGATGCAGTCACAAACCTGGAGGCTCATGGTTGATGAAATTGGGGTGTGAGTCAGATACGGGAAAGGGGCACAACCCTTATCCCAGCTCTCCAGAGGTGAAAGAAGGGGATCAAGAATTCACTGTCTACCCTGAGCTACACCCTCTGATACACAATGTCTAGCCTGAGCTACATCTTCTGATACATAATGTCTACCCTGAGCTACATCATCTTATACATTATGTCTACTTGGAGCTACATCCTCTGATATACAATGTCTACCCTGAGCTTCATAAAACCCTGTCTCAAAAATAAACATGCAAGAAATAAGCAAAAGGAGTATGATCCAGTAAGGGAAGTCCAGAAAGGAGCCTGAGATGACAGTTTTGATGGACATGGACATCCGAGAAGAAGCCTGTGTGACAAAGCAGTAGAAGAGCCTTTAGGACCACTTGCATAGCATTGGGACAGGGCCAGCAAGTGAGTAAAGGTGTTTGCACAAAAGTCTGTCAACCTGAGTTTGATCCCTGGATCCCATGTGGTGGAAGGAGAGAACAGACTCCCCAAAGTTGTCCTCTGACCCCCACACTCATGCCATGTCACAAACACACATGCATACAAAAATAAATAAATTGTGGAAGATGAATTTACAGAGTTGGGATGTGTTAGTATATGGAGGTGAGAAAGATGAGCAAGGAAAGGGTGGCTTGGCTCTGCAGGGCCTAGAAATATCGTACGCCAACAGCAAGCCTTCTCAGTTTCCTCCTACAACCATTTGGGAGCCATGGAAGGATCTAGAGGCAGAGAGGTGCATGGTGAAAGCCAAGATATAAGACCAGACCAGAGGCAAAGGTAGAGGAAGTAGGCCAGCAAGGGTGACTCTCTTCCAAGACTCCAAGGTCAAGGGTTGCTTAATGCTGAAGGCCAGAGGGAGAAGGAAAGATGTGAATGAGGGCAGTATGTGAGGGCTACGGGAGTCAGCTACCATTTGCTTGAACACAGTATTCCCTGTGGAGGTGGGAATTGATGGGCATGATGCTGACGGCCCTGCATGGGGTCCTGCAGAAAGGCTGTACCCTCTCGAAGTGGAGAGACCAAGGGATTCACTAGCTGTTCTTATTCCAATGTGGACCTTTGTGTCTTTTTAAAAAAATGATGATGGTGCACACTTTTCATCCCAGCACTTAGGAGGCAGAGGCAGGCAGATTTCTGTGAGTTCCAGGACAGCCTGGTCTACAGAGTTAATTCCAGTACAGCCAGGGCAACATAGAGAAACCCTGACTTGAAAAAAAGTGTGGATTGTACATTTAATTAAAAAATAATTATATCATTTCCTGCCTTCCCTCTAGTCCCACCTTCACTGTTGTACATACATAAAAACGAATAAATGTATGATTACAACCTGCTGAACTCCTTCAATACTGCTGTGTGCATGCTTCCAGGGCTGACCGCTTGGTGTTGAGTAACCAGTCAGGAGATCATCCCTGGGAAGGTTAAGTCTCCTTCTCTGAGCAGATATAGCTCCAGTGGCTCTTCATCTGGGGGTGGGGACCACATTAGGAGACCAATTGCTGTTGGAAGTGTTTAGGTCTAATTTAGACAACCATACCATTGGGCTTTGTACCCCCTTTAAGGCAAGGTCTCACGTAGCCCAGGCTGACCTCAAACTCGACATGTAGCTAACAATGGCCTTGAAATCTTAATCCTCCTGCTTCCAGCTCCTGAGTGTGTTTTCTGCACAAATGACACGAGTCATCGAAAATGATACTGTCCAAAGGGGTCTGGAGAGATGGCTCAGCAATTAAGAATGCTTGCTGCACTCTCAGAGGACCTAAGTTTGGTTCCTAGCATCCACATCAGCTTGCAACAGTGTAACTCCATCTCCAGGGGCATATAATGCCCTCTTATGGCCTCTACAGGTACTACAATCACAATGACCCAGATTAAAAAATAAATCTTAAATAAGATGTTAATTATGTCGAAGCCTCATGTGGTGGTGGTGGTGGACACTTGTAATTCTAAAGTCAGGAGGCTGAAGCAAGATCACTCATGAGTCTAAGGCAGGCCAAGACTACATGACAAGATGTTGTCTCAAAAAAGGAATATCATAAGTTTGAGGCTAACCTACGCAACTTGTCTATTTTCTTTTTAATTTTAACTTATGTTCATCTATTAATTTTATAGGGTGAGGGATATTGTGGAATATTCCTTTACACTGTGTGATGACGTGTCACTAAGATTAGTTTAATTAAAAAGCTATGTAGGATTTTCAAGGCAGAGAGAATCTAGGAAGAAGAAGGTGGAGTTGCCAGCCAGACACAGAGCAAGCAGAATGGGCAATAAGGAGATGAGGTAATAAATCCACAAGGCAGAAAGTAAATGAATAGAAATGGGTTAGTTTACATTATAAGACCTAGTTAGTAACAAGCCTAAGCTATTGACTGAGCATTTGTAATGAATGATAACTCTCCATGTGGTTTTTTGGGAGCTGGCTGGCAGGACAGAGAAACACCCACTATAGAGAGGTGCATGCATGCCGGGGAGGTGAGACCAATGTGTAGGAGGTGGCTAGTTGGCTGCTCATTCCAATCTGTGAGTCCCAGGGGTTAACCCAGGCCATTAGGCTTGGTGGTTGTTGGGGACTGCAAACCCTCAAACCCTGAATTTTCTATGACCCTTGCCTCCCAGAGTAAACAATGTCTCTGTGTATCTTCCATCTTTACGTGGCTTATTTTTCTGTCCTCTTTTATTCTTTTTCTTCTCTCTCCCAAGCCTACATACATTT